CCGCAGCATATGGCCGTAGTTACGGGTGGCGTTTGATTTCGCTTCGGTGGGTGAGCATCGATTGAAGGCGGGTTATGATTGCTCCATTGCTTCGTGCGCTCCAATGGCTCTCATCGCCAATCCCTCCGCTTTGCGTCGGGCGAAAGTTTACGTCGCGTAGCCAAGTCACGAGCACTGGCTCAGTGTGGTGGCGGTCGGTGATTATGGGCGGTGTAACTCCTGGCCCCTTCGAAAGAGAAAGTAAAATTGGGGGAGAAAAAAAAAATAACTCACTCAACAATGCTTTGTTTGTCATTGATTTTTTTGAGTGAGGCCCCAAGACCCTCCAGATTTAAATCATTCGGACTTCCTGGATCTTGTGCTGATGATGCTTGGCGCAGCTTCAAGCGAAACGGCGCATCCGATTGCTGCTCAGTGTGGTTCTGAGAATTGCTCTTCAACTCACCGGTGAGCTGGAAGAGTGGTGGAGGTCTCAACAACGTAAATTTGGCCAGTTTGGTGCGTGGCCTAATCCCAAGATCGATTGTGAATGTGCGACCCTGCTTCATGTTAAGTCTAACGATACTTTATTTGTGAATTAAAAACACATTCTATGTTTTTCATGAGATAGAGTAGAGAGATATTGAAACGCCTCGTGTATTAGCGATTTGACAAAGGGTTGTACATATTTTTGCAAGATAATCGAATTATTCATCTTTGAATTGCTCATCGAAAAATATTCATATTGTAATGATTCGTAACTGGAATGTTTTTTTTGTAAGTCTTGTATGAATACTTATTACGTAATTATTTGATTGTACATCAAGGTTTAATTTACCTATTGTTTGTGTTATTATTTGACGTGACAGAGTTTGTCCTCGACTACAAGTCGTTAATGGGCCAAGAGAAGCGTTCATTGAAACGCACGATTGAATGCTCTGTTCTAACTAAATACAATGAAGTCTGAAAATGTATTAACGTTGAACAATAGCCAATAACGGTCTCCACCACAAATACTAATATTTCATTCCATTGTCTTCCACCCACCAGGAATACATTTGCATTTCAAGGGCATCAGTTGATTTCAAGGGCATTCGTTAATGTAATAATTGACAGGCTTATATAACTTTAACGGTGATGGGGCATGCGAGTGGTCTGGGTGAGAAAGGCCAGACTGGCATTGTCTGTAAAATTAAACAACGTCAAGGCGTTGCTACCCGTGGCTACACCACGTGAAGGGGAGTAGAGTCAAGGACGTAATGGATGGGGGAAAAGACAAAGGGAACGAGAGAGAGAGAGAGATACGAGAATGAATGGGGAATGAGAGAAAAAGGATGGGAAAGGAACGGAGAATCGGGGCAAAGGCTTCGAGGGAGGAAGAAGCTGCATCAGGGTCTCCACGCTACAGAGGAGCGGTGTTTGTTTTCACGGCGGGCGGAGAGAGGGGAGGAGGTTCAGAGTGGCACAGGTCAACAAATGGCTCCGCCTGCAAACTCATTAGAACTTCAGACGGTGAGAACGCTGCCGTGGAGTGATGGTCAGCGCTCTGCACTTGCAACCGAAATGTCTCCGGTTCTATCCCATCTCCAGGCGCGGTCGTTAAAACGATGTGCAGGTTTATTAAACCCCCCCAGCCTGGCTTCTCTCTACGCAGCAGTGTAAATGGTTGCAACCACAGTTAGCGGTGGGGTAGAGCGTGGGTACTCTAACCTCGTCGAAGACGGAATAAAAAGGTGTGGAGCTGTTCGCAATGTAAAGGCCGCACGTGTTCAAATCCCAGTTGGATGGGTTGACTCAGCCCATTATCCTTCCAGGATGGATGCGATGAGTAGTGGCACTTTGTTGGGAAGTCAAAAGTGTTTTTTTTTTTAATTACGAAACTCGCTCCCGCCATAGGAATGTGGAATTCCCACCACTGGTTCAGGGCTGTAAACGAGAAACGAGCACCGCTTCGATGTCCCAATTCAGAAGAAGTGCAGTGATGTTATCTTCCAGGGCCCTTCACTAACACTGGCGGTGCTGTTCTGCTCTACTTACTTAAGCTCTCCCTCATCTTAATTGTCTATTTCCTCTTCATATAGCTCTTGTGTTTATGTAAATCTATGAGTCTCTCTATAAGCTTTATGGTGTTTTATGTAAATCTATGTGTCTCTGTGTAAATCTATGGGTGTCTGTGTAGGTCGAAGGATCTCTATGTAAGTTTATGGGTCTCTATGTAATACTGTAGCGTAATTCTGCTCTGTGAGTCTATACGTCTCTACGTCAGTCAGCGTACAAATCTTTGGGTCTCTATGTAAGTCTCTGTATGAGTCTGTGGCTCTCAATTTACATATATGGGTCTATGTGTAAAGCCGTGGGTCTCTGTGTAAGGCTTTGGGTGTCTATGTAAATATACGGGGTCTCTGTAGGTCAATGTATCTTTGCGTAAGTCCGTGCTGATTTTGCTGTATTTAATTAAATCCAGGGTCTCTCTTGAATAAGAGACTTGCACTCTCAATGGGCGCTTGCGTTGCCGTAAATAAAGTCCGTCTATTTAGCTATTTACGCAAACCCCCTAAATACACACATTCAGCTAAATTAAACTAACATTGCTCATTAGTTCCCACCGCTAATTATTCCCATGAAAGTATTTCAAGCCAGCGCAGGAAATTGTTGACGGGGAGGAAGGAAAAAAAATTACATTCATTACCGAATTTGAAACGCGCAGTGTGCACTAATTAACAAATCAGAATTACAGAGGAGCCGGGGTGAATCGTGTGGCTCAGTGAGCTGTTGCCACCACCATGGAGTACGAGGGTTTGATGAACCTGGGAAGCCACCTCTGTCCAACCGGCTTCTCGAGTGCGTCGGGTTTATGATCCCAGCTCGGACACTCCATGACTTCGCACCCGCAACAACAGCAAATCACGGTTAATTGAAAGCTGTAATTTTCTAAATGAAAATTTCGGCAAAATAGAAATCCACTTCTGCGAGGAATATTTCTATCTAGGCGACGGATTCTGCTGTGGTTGTAACGGTGAGCGCACTGGATGTGCGATGCCGACGTCCTCGGCTCGATTTTTATTATATCGCCCGGCGCGGCAGTTGAAACGATGTCGCAATTTTATTAATTCCTCCCCCCCCCCATTCTCCCCCCCCCCTTGCACTGACCCCCCCCCCCCCACCTCTCCGTCCGTCCAGAATTTCGATCTCAATTACAGCCCTGCAGTCAAACTCGATTATCCGTCACTCGATTATCCGTGAAGATTATCTTAACCAGTAGTGGGGTTCCCCTAGGTCGTCTGGGCCCTAATGAGTACCCGGTGCGATGTGTAAACATCACCACTGGTGAGACAAAGGCGGCTGGGCGTCGTGCTGGCCACACCGATACCTTCGTGTGCCATGACAGCTTTCATAGATGGTCGCTAACAGCACTTGCCCCAACAGCCTATTAAGACTACACGGGAAATCTTTGTCTATGTGTGTGCATCTTTCAGTCATCACGCTCAGTCAACATATAACACCTGGGTCTCTCCCGTGACCTCCTGTCAGCAGCGAGCCCTCCACACCTCACAGGGCCTCAAAGTGCACCTAGCCTAGCACAAGCGCTGCGGTGAAGTCACCGCCCCTGAGTGGGTGGCAAATGGCGGCTGTTGTTGTTGTTGTCGTGATTGGGGTTGATTCAAATCAGCAAATAGTCAAGAAAACTAGTGCAGGGTGGAGAACGAGAAATGTTGACGACGCCAACAACAAACACACGTTCATGTTGCATGCCCCCAGAATCTCTCGGCCCCAAGGATTTTGCCAATTAAACAACTACGGTAGTTCCTGAAGAACTGCACTGTGGTCATCTTGTCCTAAGTCACCATCGATGAATGTCCTTAACGTTTAAAATAAAATGGTATGCAACCGTTCTACTGTCGTATGACATTACTGCTTGTTGTTTTTGTCACACTGGCTCAATTTATTCACGGTGACTTCAAGGGAAAAATTACCCCCCCCCCCCACCATTCCAATGCAGTTCTTCAGGAACTGGTGGTTTTGAATGACGCTTAAGGCTGCGAGCCTTTTGTTGTACGCAGCGCCTGTTGTTGTGGACTGGGGGTAGAGCGGTGGAGCAGCGGTTCGCACAATACACGCTATTCGTGGGTGGCACGACTCACATCAGTGGCGAGTGACATTCGAACCCCATTGTCTTGGAAGCTCCCTCTCTCCTGAACCAATATGCAGTGAATAGCGTGGTGAAGTATTGTCAAACAGCCCTAAAGACTGCTGACACAGCATGCGTGGAAGCCTTCATCATTTAGCGGATTGACAAAAGCGTGATATATATATCACTGTTTTTTTCTACTAATAATTATTTTACAGGAACGTTTAAACTAGTTAAACTAAAACTCAAAAAAATGTTTTACCAGCTAAGGCCCACTGAGCTATGTAGCTCTTTTTCAGAAGCGACCTGGCCACAAATGATAGCTCGACCAAGTGGCTTATCACGTGGACATTTCTAGCAGCCAAATACTCTAAACGCATGGTGATGTTGATTCAAAATGTGGAAGGGAAAAACCCGGAGGAACCCGGAGAAAAATCCACGCGATCACGGGGAGAGAAACACGAAAAGTCCAAATGCTGTATACAGCAGGCGTCAGGGCAGGGATCGAACATACGACCTCCTGTATACCAGGCGAGGTAGTTAACACCTCGCCACCGCCGCGCCCCAATTTCACGCGGAAGTACAACAACAACAACACGCAGCGTGTACGCTTTCGACAGCCGTGACGGGTGGCAATCCCGCGGCGTTACCTTTAACGACGCCTGGCAAGCTGGTGAGAGCCAGAAGATCGAAACCGATACAGAGTCGGCTCGCGTGAACAGGCGCTTGCTCCGCTGGACACATGTTCTGTACCCGTGTGGAGACGCGGAACAGAACCAGACCCCCCATTTACCAGTCGCGGATTCACTGGGTGACAGAGACCTCCGCGGGGCTGCACACGCCGTGAACATTGATTCTACAACTCAATTAGGAAGACTTAAAACGTACTCACGCTTAGTGTCACTCGACTGGCCTGCAACCACGACAACAACAGGAGAGAGGGAGGGGGGGAATGCATCGTGAGCCACGGCAGACACTGTTTATAGGTTCAAACATGTTTACATGTGCGGGTGTGTGGATATCTATCTGTGTGTGTAACTCACAGCACTTGCCCCAACAGTCTGTTACAGGCTATATGGGGGACAGTTGTATTTGTGTGTGTGTGTGGAGTAGGAGAGAGCGGGGAGCGGTGGTGTAGCGGTTAGTGCACTGCGCTACGAACCTGGCGACCCGGGTTCGATTCCCGCTCACGGCAAACACCAGTGGCGATTATCTGAACCGATTTTGGGCCTCTCCAAGGTCGACTCAGCCTCAAATGAGTATCTGGTGTGATGTGTAAACATCGCCAATAGGGAGACAAAGGCGGTCGGGCGTGGTGTTGCCCCTACAGTCTGTTAAGGCTATACGGGTGATCTTTGTCTTTTTGGAGTAGGAGACTCGTCGGGAGCAGTGGCGTAGTGGTTCGCGACCCGAGATCGATTCCCGCTCGTGGCCAACACCAGTGGCGATTATCTGGACCGCTCTCGGGTCTCCCCTAGGTCGACTCAGCCTTAAACGAGTACCGGGTGCGGTGTGTAAACATCGCCACTCCGGAGGCCACGATAACCAGGCGTAGTTTTCGGCCACGCCACCTCGTGTGCACTGCGTCGGCCTTAATAGGTGCTCGCTGACAGCGCCGGCCCCAACAGGGAGGCACAGGCTGCACGGGGAGTCATTGTGCAACAATATCCCACGTCGCCTGCTTATCCCTCCAGAGTAAACGCCACACAATAAAACATTTCACAATCGTAATAACAACAACATATTACTAGCGAACCTCAAAACCTGTCGGGGCTGTACGGGACATCTCAGTCTTTGTGTCCACGTGTCCATATATATAATCTCCATGCGTGTACCCACGTGTGCGTGTGTGTGTGTGCGTGTGTGTGCGTGTGTGTGTGTGTGCGTGTGTGTGCGCGTGTGTGCGTGTGTGTGCGTGTGTGTGCGTGTGTGCGTGTGTGTGCGTGCGTGTGCTTGCACCGGCGTGTCCCGAGCAGCCTCAACAGTCCGTCGAGGCTGCTCGGGACAGCCGCCGCCCGCTGCGGGCAGCGGGCGCGGTGCGCCGTGCGGGCACCCACACGGGTTGGCGGTGCCCGATGGGTAGGGCAGGTAGGAGCCCGGCCTCCACGCGCCGCCGCGGAATCCCTTCTTGCAGCGGCTGCAGTCGGGCCCCATGGTGTTGTGCTCGCAGTCGCACGCGAGGCGCCCGTCGTTGAAGAGGCACGTGTTGGAGTGCAGGTTGCACTTGCACCTGCGCGCGCCGCAAAGGACAAAGAAGATCCGCCCCACGTGGTAGCCTTCGACAGACCGTCAGGCTGTCGCCTGATGAAGCTCGTTGCAATTACTGGCGAAACGTCGGAGTCAGATTGTAAATGTTGTGGCTTGGCTCTCCAACACACCGGTGGTGCTGTACTAGATGGCACGTTCTGTTTACGTCACAAACCCTTAATAGTTGGCTGTGTCGGGTGGTGGCGGGTTTAACGACACATATATATATTTACACGAAATAACTCTGAAAAAAATAACTTGAGGCTGAGTCCACCTAGGGGAGTACCCGGAACCGGTTCAGATAATCGTCGCCGGTGTTTGAAGTGAGCGTGAATCGAACTCGGATGGCCGGGTTCGTTAGGCAGCGCGCTAACTGCTATGCTGCGGCTTGTGCCCCTGGCACGAACACACAGACACACGAGGCCGCCACGGAGAGCGTCAGCGGACAGACCGGGAGAGGTGAGGATGGAACACACAAAAAGACAAAGATCCCCCGCATAGCCTGTAATGGACTGTTGGGGCAAGTACTGTTAGCGAGCACCCCTATGAAGGCCGGCACGGCACACGAGGTGGTGGGTGAGTGGTCGCGTTTGTCTCGCGATATGTATATGCGTGCGTGTGTGTGTGTAAGAAACCAAGAATGTGTGGCAGAGGGGGCAAGAGCTTTACAAGGGAGGGCATGGCTGGTTTTGCTCTCATCACATCCTGATCGCTCCTTCACTCACTTGATTAGCGAACAAGGGGCGGTCTTGACCCCAAAGCTCTCGCCTCTTCCACGAAAATAGCAGCCCGGCTCAAACGAACAACGTCAGAATTGAGCAGATTTACGGCAATTTAAAGTGTGGCCCAAAAGTCAGGACACATAGGGGGGTTATTATACTGGGCGCCCAAATGTCAGGAGACATATGGGGGTTATTATAGTGGGTGGCCCAAAAGTCAGGACACGGTGGCCCAAAAGTTAGGACACATAGGTGGATTATTATACAGGGGGGCCCAAAAGTTAGGACACATAGGGGGGGTTACTACACAGGATGGCCTAAAAGTCAGGACACATGGTTTACATGTATTTTAACACTGGCATTCAAACATTTTAATTATTTATTATTTAAGTTAATATTTTATCTGTTATCCTTATAAATAACCATTCTATTCTTCCTCCTTTTCAGATGGTGTTTAGGAACCCGAACAATAACCCTTAATGAATTAAAACACAATTGACGAATGCTCAAATATTGCACGTGTAGTCCTTAAAACAAAGTCCTAATTAATTTCAAAAGACAATGTGTGCATGTTATTGGCAGCCAGTTTTAACAAGGTTTAAAATAAATTAAATAACCCTTTGTCATTTGCGATAGTAAATATAATTACCATATGTGTCCTGACTTTTGGGCCACCCTCTATATATACACACACACACAAAACACCCACGTGCGTGTATAACAGCAGAACTAATTTAAATTCTTGCCAGACAATTATAAACCTTCAAGGTCATCAGTAAAAATACACACACGTCTACACACACACACGTTTTTTATTCAGAGAAAATAAGACTAATTATAAAAAATGTGCTTTGTATAAAATACGTATATATGTATATATAATACGAAGGTTAGAGCCCCAGGCTGTGTTTGTGATGCGTTTGACACAAATTGGCGTAGACGGTAATGTAATCTCTCACCGGGAGAGTTTATATTCTAAAAAAAAAGGGTCAGAGGACACAGCCGCCACAGCCTTTCTCTCGAAACCGGCGGTAATTAGCCCTGCATGTTAATATCAGGTAGCGCACGTGTGTGTGTGTGAGTGTGTGTGTGTATTAGTGGGTGGGGAGCGGTAGTGTAGTGGTTAGCACGCTGCGCTACGAACCCGACGACCCGAGTTCGATTCCCGCTCACAGCCAAAATCAGTGACGATTATCTGAACCGGTTCTGGGCCTCCCTTAGGTTGACTCAGCCTCAAATGAGTACCTGGTGCGGTGTGAAAACATCGCCACTGGAGAGACAAAGGCGGCCAGGCGTGGTGCTGGCCACCCACCCCCTCGTGTGCTGTTCTGGCCTTCGTAGGTTCTCGCTAACAGTACTTGCCCCAACAGTCTGTTACAGGCTATACGGGGGATCTTTGTCTTTGTATTAGTGGGTGGAGAGCAGACGTCTAGTGGTTAGCGTGCTGCGCTATGAACCCACCAGCAACCCTAGTTCAATGCCCGCTCATGGCCAACGCCAGATACGATTATCTGAAGCGGTCCTGGGCCTCCTCCCCTCGGTCGACTCAGCCTCAAATGAGTACCTGGTGTGGTGTTGTAAACTTCGCCACTGGGGTGGTGCTGGTCACTCAATCCCTCGTGTGCCTTTCTTGGCCATCATAGGTGTTTGCTAATAGCTCTTGCCCCAACTGTGTGTGTTAAGGCTATATGGGGGACCTTTGTCTTTGGTGTAGAGGTATGCACGTGGGGGGAGTCACAGTGGGGGCCACGCTGGACAAAAACAAAAAGACTGACAGTTTCCTCTCTCTCCCTCCCTCTCTCGCAAGTTGGACGTCTCACTTTGGGCATAACGCCTCCTAATTGTGGATGAGCGCTCGGAATTTAAATCCATTGCATTATGCATAGCGGAGGGACAAAGGTTGGCTCGTGGATTTATGATCACTTTTAACCAAATAAAATATCTGATATTTTTTTTCCCTTGTTAAGGATTTACATGTGCATTTGGCGCAGATGAAATTTGCCAACAAGTTATTTTTTTTTACGGCAAATAAAAATCTATGTACTTATTCATAAATTCTCAATTGTTCTTTTTGGTATTTCTTAACGTCGTTGCTGCTGTCGTAAATGTAGTTGTTAAGGTAGCTGAAACCATGTGCACTGTGTTTCAAATAATAACCAGGGTCGGGTGAAATACAAAATAACAATAATAATAATACAACGGCAAAGGCGCAGCCCTGCAATTGCCAGCTCACATCACTGCTGACGGAAGGGCCTCCACTGGAGGCAGTGCTCGAGCGCCCCTCGAAGAGAGACGGGAGTAGAGGCATGCTCTGACTGGCCACATTCGACCGGTCGATCGACCGACAGTGGTGTACACATTTACACTGCTGGCTGGACAGAGGCGGTAGTGAATAGCGGGTATCAGGGAGAGGCTGGCAGGGGGAGGGAGAGGAATTTAATAAACTCGCCTCATTATTTCCACTGCCGAGCCGGGAGATTACATCGAACCGGCGAAGCTCTGCATTGAAATCCAGCGCAATCGACCGTCACGCCACTCTGGTGGCATCCATAAATAATTATCAGCACCCCATCGCTAACAGGAGGGCTTCTCATGATCAGGCAAATTCCACGTTTGCACCGCCAGCATTTCAGGAAAAAATCATCTTGCGATGCCGCCCGACGTCCAAGCCGGTTTACGGCACGCTGCACAAATCACGGCCCAGCAATCGACTGACACAGAGACCTCCGCTGCTGCCGCGTGGCCAACCCGGCCATTAGTGGCATCGGGGGACGGGAGGTGAGTGACGAGGAGGAGGAGGAGGTGTTCGTGTATCGTTTCTGTGCTTGGGAGGCGCTGGTGCTAGCGGGGGTGGGGGTTAGTGGAGGCTTGTTTAGAAATCGTTTTTTGGGAACCTCCCGCCGTCGATGCATGAACTCTTCGATACAGACGAGATAGAGATGCAGTGAAATGAGGGCGATGTGGGCAAGAGACAGAAATGGCGTCAGATGAGTAATGAAGACAGCTGCGGACAAGAGAGGGATGGTAGGAGGTTGAAGACTTTTGCCTCAATGTTCTAACTGCCGCGGCCGGCAGATTGAATGGAACCGGTGACCTCTGAACTGTGACACCGCGGTGGGTGAACTGTGACACCGCGGTGTGCGAACCGTTACCCAGCGGCAGAAATCCTGAGCACGACATACGCTCGGTGGCAATGGGAGGTAGAGATAGCGGTGGGTGGCTGGCTGGGTGGCTGGGTGGATAGGCGTTTGACTGGATGGGTGGCTGGGTGGCTGGGTGGCTGGCTGGGTGGATAGGCGTTTGACTGGATGGGTGGCTGGGTGGCTGGGTGGGTGGCTGGGGTGGCCGAGTGGCTGGGTGGTTGGTATGGAGAGTCGGGTGGTGGGAGACCGGGAGAAATTTATTTTGCCCAAGGTTTTATTTTCCATTTGTTTTGACCTCCATACAAGTGTCTTTAGATTTCGCCGTGTCCCCTGCTCGGGGTGGCCTTAGTCGCCTTAATATTAACAGGCTGGTTAATAAACGCTACTTCGAGCATGGAGTGCTTGTGCATTATGGGTGGTGTTGAGGGGGAGGGAGGGGAGGGGTCGAGAGTGTAGGGTGGATGAGGAGGTGGTGGGACAGACGGATCGGAAGGAATGGATGGCCGAGGAAAGGGCTTTGGTTGGAATACGAAGTCACGGTGAAAATTAATGAGAAAGGAGCACTCTGCGTGATGCAAAATAATAATTACTGTTAACCCTTCCCACGCACCGCACTCACAGCCATACGTATCACGCGCAGCCACGCCGTGTAAATATAACACTATATATTATTTCATGGGACCTCATATTGTTATGACCACTAAGTAAGAATAACACCAGTTAATAACGCCGGTGCAGTAGCAATGGCAGAACAATGCAAGATGGGATTTGTTATCGTCGTCGTCGTCGTCATCATACGCCGTGCTCTATCAACTGCTGGACCGAAGGCTCCCCGAGGCGTCGCCATCTCTCACGGCCTCCCGCCGTCACGGTCCACCCAGCGCGCTCCACGCTGCGTGGTGCGGCGGCCTCTCAGTCGCCGTTCCCTCCTTTGGCTGTCGCTGCGGCCTTAGCCTCGACCACCCCGCCCCAGTGGCGCGTCCTGCCCAAGGCTCGCCACCTCGCCTTGGGTCAGGACGACGTCTCTAACTCGCCCCTACGCCGCCTGGGTTACAAGCCACGTGCGGTGCCACTGGCCCCCGGCTAAAGGCGCACTGGGGCTCGGTGAGGCTATGCTGGTAAATACATTGGCGTTATACATAGTCGTGTCAAAGTGGAGGACGTGTTCAAGAGGACGGGCATTCAGGCAGAGATAATGTTCGAGAGGAGAGTGATGTTCGAGAGGAGATTGATGTTCGAGAGGAGATTGATGTTCGAAAGAGTGAACAAGCACGTGAACAATCACGTGAACAAGCACGTGAACAATCACGTGAACAAGCACGGTCATCACGAAACAAAAACCCCTCAACACTAATAATCGTGTTAATAAATAAAATAGGTCAAACACACTCTGCACTCTTCCAAGAAGATGCAAGTATAATGAGAATTAGCCGGAGGATAAAATTAATTGAAATCTACTTTGAACTAGTTGACGAACACGTGTGTGCGTGTTGCATGTGTGTGTTGCGTGTGTGCGTGTGTGTTGCGTGTGAGTGTGTGTTGCGTGTGTGCGTGTGTGTTGCGTGTATGTGCGTGTGTATGGGGGATGCATGACAATGTGTGGGTGAATCGCTCCCTTTTCTTACCATTAGTGGAGCGGTAGTGTAGCGGTTAGCGCACAGCGCTATGAACCCGGCGACTCGAGTTCGATTCCCGCTCACGGTCAACGCCAGTTACGAATATCTTAACCCGTCCTGGGCCTCCCCTAGCTTCAAATGCGTACCCAGTGCGGTGTGTAAACATCGCCACTGGGGAGACAAGGGCGGTCGGGCGTGGTGCCGGCAATCCACCCTCTCGTTATACCGTGCCGGCCTTCATAGGTGCTCGCTAACAGCACTTCCCCCAACAGTCTATTAAGGCTACACGGGGGGTCATCGCCTTTTTACGTGTACAAAACATCAGCATTGGGAAGACAAAGGCGGCTGGGCGTGGTGCTGACCACCCATCCCCGTCGCGTGCCGTACTGGCCTCAATGGGTGCTCGCTGACAGCTCCGTCGTCTGTTCAAGCCTGCACCGCGTGTGCTCGGCTGGTTCAGTTGTCGGGTACACAGCTCAAGGCGAGTGTGTGAAATATATCTAAAAAAGCATTATCAAATACAATCACCGGCAGGGATTTAGCATGGAAGTTAAAGGGCTTTGAGCTTAGCGATTGTTCCACAGATCAAAGGCATATGTCCACAATATAATATAATACACACACACGCACGTATATTCGCGTGCCCGTAAATACGTATCGAGTCAAGTCTGTGGAGATTATAATTGGCGGTCAAAACACATCATCGCTTTTTAGTCGGGTCCACTCAAACCGCGTGATTTGACCTCGGCCCCCATCGGTTCCACGTGTCCGTGTGGGGTCTTCCCCTCCCACGTTCCTACTCATGAGTAAGGGCGTTGGCTACTCCCGTAATTAAAAGTGATCATAATTATTTTAAGTAATGCAAATCGATGTCTCTCTCTATCTCTCTATCTGGGCCACCACTTCAAAAACCGGTCGAAACGTGGAGTGTGGACAGGAGAGGTCTCGCAACCAACCTCCCACCCCCCACTCCTCCCCCCCCACACCCCCCTTCACAACTCCCCTCCCCTATTTCCCTCCCCCTACTCCCACCCACTCCCCCCACTACTGGAGCACCACCCATCCTGTGCAGTCTATTTTAATTTGATGGGATTTTATGCAACCCGGGATATTGCGATGTAAATGAAGAGGGATTTCGGGATGAAGAAATCCGATAAAACTCTCTTTTGCACGCAAAAAAATCAATCCTCTAATTCCAAATTAGGGAAGTGCATCAGGGCAAGATTAATACGGCGTCTCATGGATGTCGAAAGGCCCCTCCTGTTGGTGTCTTACACGCTTGGCCTGCGTATCGCTGACATGTGCGGGGGGGGGGGGCGGTGGTCAGCGGTCAGCGAGCTGCGATACGAACCCCGACAACGCGAGTTTTTCAAAAATCCCGCTAACAACCAAACAACGGTGGCGAGTGTCTGAACCGCTCCCTGGGCCTCCCCTCTCGAGCGACTGAGCCTTAAAATGAGTTTCTGGTGCCGGTGTGTAGATATCACCACTGGTGAGACACAGGCGACCAGGCATGCGTGGTGCTGGCCCGGCCCCCGTCGTCCACCGTGCCGCCCTTCGTAGCTGCTCGCTCACAGCACTTGCCCCGACAGTCCTGTTAAGCCTACACGGATGGGGGGGGGGGGGGACCTTTCGTCTTTGTGCGTCGCTGAGATCGCATCGCGATCTGCCCCCCTTCCCCCACCCTCTTTCCCCGGGCTCGTTGAAGCGCTCCGCCACGGCCCCGTGCGAAAGTTTCGGGTGTCGCCGGACGGCGTCGCGAGAGGAGGCGCCGTCTCCGTTGCTAATTCCGCTGGAAATCCTCGGCACGCGCGTCTCATCGAGTGCGCTCGGACGGGAACCGTGATGCGAAAGATTTGCCACGGCCTCTGAGGTGTCGCCTAACACGATCGTTGGATAATTGGTATCCCCACGCCTATTAAATGTTTTCTGAAAACAGTCAATTAATTCGTGGAATAATAGTATTTGCCAGCAGCCGGGAACTGTGTGATTAAAGCGGCACTTGAGATATGGATAAGGGGGGGGGGGGGGGTGTCCGGGTTCAAGACTGGGTGAGGGAGGAGGAGGAGGAGTGGCAGCGCGGCTGTCGGCGTCACTTCAAGCCTCCGGTCACGAAGTGGAATAATCCGCGCGCGCCGAACTGAATAGTAAACCGGGTAGGTGGTGCTGACCCAAGGGTCGAGTTTGGTGGTGGTGGGGGGGGGAGTCAACTGAACTTGTTCCATTTTACTGGCCCGGCGGGCCCGGAAGGAACTGCTGCTGCTGCTGTCTGGGCGACTGGCGACAATTTAGAAACGATGATTCGTGACGTTGGTGCACAAGCCGGGTCAGTGGTGATGGTTTCTATGCGGTTGCACTATGTAATTCTCCGGCATGTAATCTTCCAGCACTGTAGCGAGGGTTGGTGGATCACCGCACGCAGGTTTTGTTGTGGGACTCCCTTCCTGTTTGCTGCGAGGAGGTGCCATAACCCTGTCTCAGCAAGTAGACTAAAATCGCCATCTGTTTATTCCATCGAAACGGGGATAGAGCGTTGCCCCGTCACACGAGTGGGTTTTCTCTGGGTGCTCCAGTTTCCTCGCAAGCGCATTGTAAACATGAATTGGTTGAAAACGCCTAACGAGTAAAATATTAACGTAGCAGCAGCGTGACCCTCCTGGAAAAGTGTCCTATGACCCAGTGTGGCTCCCCTGAAGAAAAATATAAACTGAATTAAATAAATACAATTCTAAATAAACCGCATTACGTCATTAACACCACACAAACAAGGCAACACGCGTAATGGGCGACATTACGGACAACAGCCCTTCGTCTTCATCTCTCTCTGCCATGAAGAAGGGCCATTGCCCGAAACGTTCGCCAATTATATACAATCCTCTCTAAGGCAGGATTATTGATGGACGTGTTGAACTTTTAGTATGAGTGCTTATGCACCGCTGCCGACGGCAGCATCAGGTCTGAGCAGGCAAAACAACATCACTCCCCACCGTCTCAGCACCCGGCACCACCGTCACACCACCACCACCACCACACAACACCAACAACCGCCGTTCCACCACTCAGCGGCGGTGACGTCGCCGCGGGGCTTGTGCCAGTCGAGGGTGCACTTCGAGACGATCGCGCCAAGTGGTCGAAAGGCCCGCCAGCAAGGGGGTCACGGAACGGACCCGGCAGGCGCCAACTGGTCGACCGACCGCGATGGCCAACCGCTTCCAAGCGGCGGGCGGTAAGAAGGAAGAAGGACCCACCTGCCTCTGACGCGCAGGTTGGAGATGGCGTAGAAGTACTTGCTGAGATTGGCCGTGTCCACGGAGGTGCCGCCCGTCGCCGGGTGGAGCAGCCGCAGGCGCAGGTCGGTGAGCGTGAAGAAGTCGCGCAGGCCTCGGTTGGTGTCCAGGCGGCCGTAGAGCGACGCCAGGTTCTGCATGTCGGCGCCCGCGTACAGCGCGTAGCGGTCCGTCACCTCGAAGCGCACCGTCTTGGCGTCCTCCCACACGTACGCGCGCGAGTACTCCTCCGTGCAGATGACCGCGGTCACCGCCGACTTGTCGAGCTCGCGGCTGCTGCGCGCCTCCATGCCGAACGCGTCGACGCAGTCGTCGGCGTAGTGCTGGTACGGCTGCCACGTGCGCCCGTAGTCCAGCGACTTCTCCAGCGTCATGGCCTTGGGGCGGCTGTACTCGAACGTGACCACCACGTCCTCGGTGAGCTCCACGCTCTTGTTCCACGACAGCGTGAGGTTGGCCTGCAGCGGCCGCGGGTGGTGCCGCCACGATGCGCTCTGCCAGTACGTGGGCCGGTTACGGCCCTCGTAGTCGAACATGAGGTCCACGGGGTGCGCTAGGTCGCCCGTGCCAGCGTCGCACTCGTTGTTGCACATGTACGGGTTCTCCTGGGGGGTGGGAGGAGGGCGGAGAAGGTCAAGGCGCCACGGTGTCAAATTGATGACTTATCTCGCCTGGTATACAGGAGGTCGTGGGCTCGATCCCGACTCTGATGCCTGTGTGTTTGGAGTTTGCACGTTCTCTCTCCGTGGTCGTGTGGATTTTTCTCTGGGTCCTCTGGTTTTAGAAACACGCGTTTAGAATGTTTGGCTACTATAAATAATTATCCACGTGATAAGTCACTTCGTTGAGCTATCGCCTGTCGCCAAGTCGCTTCTGAAAAAGAGCTATCTAGCTCGGTGGGCCTTGCCTTGTTAAACAAAATAACTGTAGTTTATAGCACCATTGGCTACATGCGGTGCGAAAGAAGTTCGCATACATGCATACGCAAGTACACATCATGCGATAGGCACGGAGTGTCGGGCGGACGTTGCGAATGAACGGTCCGGATTGACGTCGGTAGATTATGTCTCTCTCTCTCTCTCTGTCTTCCTCTCTCTGAGTGGCCTCTCAGATCAGGCGACTTAGCGCTTCAGAGGCCCAGAGCAGAGCAACAGCGGAGCGCCGTTCTGACACGCCGCGGCAGGAGAGTCGATCGGCGGCCGCCTTGCCACGCGGGTGACGTGCCAGGAGCGGGGGTCACCGGGGCGACCACCCTGGACACAGACAAAGATCCCCCGTATAGCATTACGGGGGAAACTGCTGCGAGCGAGTAGCAGCACCTGTGAAGGCCGGAATGGCACACAAAGGGGCTGGTGTGGCCGAAACCATGCCCGGCCGCCTTTGTCTCCCTACACCAGGTACTCATTTGAGGCTGATTCAACCTAGGGGAGGCCCAGGACCGGTTCAGATAATCATCGCCGGTGTTGGTGGCCGTGAGCGGGAATCGAACTCGGGTCGCAGGGTTTGAAGCGCAGCGTAGCTCTAGGTGCCGCACTCCTGCCCACCCACTTCTAAACTCTTCATCACAACAACAACAATAATTTACTGTTGTGAAGCACCCTTCACCTGGAGGTCGCAAGGTGCCGTGCAGAGCTAAAAACAGAAATGAATGTTTTACGAAGGAATGAAAGAGAAGCCCCGCTTAGAACCAAATCAAATCCACGCTGTCCTCGTGATCGGAGAAACCCCGTCACGTGAAATAAACACCCCCCCCCCCCGTGGGAAGAAAGTCACAACGTCGAGACAATTAAATGTCGGTGTGACATTTAGGACCTGCGGTGGAGGTTATTCTTCAAAGTTTACCGGTTTTTGCGAACACCCTTAGCGCCGCTAAAATCAAACGTTGCCCACAAGTTGGAACGGCCACGTGATGACCGATTTTTTTCGATTGATATAGCCCCTCGATCGGAGGTGCTTTACAACAATTCTAAAATTGTACCTAAGATGCCAGTGGTTGAGATTCTAAAGAATGGGGATATTAACAGTGTAGTCATGGTGACAGGAGAACAGGCGGAGTGGTTAAGGAGGGGTTGGGATAGTGATAGGGGTTGGGGTGTGAGAGGGGTAGTGGCAAGGGTCGTGATAGGGGTTGGGGTGTGAGAGGGGTAGTGGTAAGGGTCGTGATAGGGGTTGGGGAGTGATAGGGGTAGTGGTAAGGGTCGTGATAGGGGAGTGATAGGGGTAGTGGCAAGGGTCGTGATAGGGGTTGAGGAGTGATAGGGGTAGTGGTAAGGGTCGTGATAGGGGTTGGGGAGTGATAGGGGTAGTGGTAAGGGTCGTGATAGGGGTAGGGGTGTGATAGGGGCAGTGGTAAGGGTCGTGATAGGGGTTGGGAGTGATAGGGGTAGTGGTAAGGGTCGTGATAGGGGTTGGGGAGTGATAGGGGTAGTGGTAAGGGTCGTGATAGGGGTGTGATAGGGGTAGTGGTAAGGGTCGTGATAGGGGTAGGGGAGTGATAGGGGTAGTGGCAAGGGTCGTGACAGGGGTTGGGGAGTGATAGGGGTAGTGGTAAGGGTCGTGATAGGGGTTGGGGAGTGATAGGGGTAGTGGTAAAGGTCGTGATAAGTGTAGGGGTGTGATTGGAGAGTGGTAAGGGTCGTGATAGGGGTTGGGGAGTGATAGGGCTAGTGGTAAGGGTCGTGTTAGGGGTAGGGGTGTGATAGGGGTAGTGGCAAGGGTCGTGATAGGGGTTGAGGAGTGATAGGGGTAGTGGTAAGGGTCGTGATAGGGGTTGGGGAGTGATAGGGGTAGTGGTAAGGGTCGTGATAGGGGTAGGGGTGTGATAGGGGTAGTGGTAAGGGTCGTGACAGGGGTTGGGGAGTGATAGGGGTAGTGGTAAGGGTCGTGATAGGGGTTGGGGAGTGATAGGGGTAGTGGTAAGGGTCGTGATAGGGGTTGGGGAGTGATAGGGGTAGTGGTAAAGGTCGTGATAAGTGTAGGGGTGTGATTGGGGAGTGGTAAGGGTCGTGATAGGGGTTGGGGAGTGATAGGGCTAGTGGTAAGGGTCGTGTTAGGGGTAGGGGTGTGATAGGGGTAGTGGTAAGGGTCGTGATAGGGGTAGGGGTGTGATAGGGGCAGTGGTAAGGGTCGTGATAGGGGTTGGGGAGTGATAGGGGTAGTGGTAAGGGTCGTGATAGGGGTTGGGGTGTGATAGGGGTAGTGGTAAGGGTCGTGATAGGGGTAGGGGTGTGATAGGGGTAGTGGTAAGGGTCGTAATAGGGGTTGGGGAGTGATAGGGGTAGTGGTAAGGGTCGTGATAGGGGTTGGGGAGTGATAGGGGTAGTGGTAAGGGTCGTGATAGGGGTTGGGGAGTGATAGGGGTAGTGGTAAAGGTCGTGATAAGTGTAGGGGTGTGATTGGGGAGTGGTAAGGGTCGTGATAGGGGTTGGGGAGTGATAGGGCTAGTGGTAAGGGTCGTGTTAGGGGTAGGGGTGTGATAGGGGTAGTGGTAAGGGTCGTGATAGGGCTAGGGGTGTGATAGGGGCAGTGGTAAGGGTCGTGATAGGGGTTGGGGAGTGATAGGGGTAGTGGTAAGGGTCGTGATAGGGGTTGGGGAGTGATAGGGGTAGTGGTAAGGGTCGTGATAGGGGTTGGGGTGTGATAGGGGTAGTGGTAAGGGTCGTGATAGGGGTTGGGGAGTGATAGGGGTAGTGGTAAGGGTCGTGATAGGGGTTGGGGTGTGATAGGGGTAGTGGTAAGGGTCGTGTTAGGGGTAGGGGTGTGATAGGGGTAGTGGTAAGGGTCGTGATAGGTATAGAGGTGTGATAGGGGTAGTGGTAAGGGTCGTGATAGGTATAGGGGTGTGATAGGAGAGTGGTAAGGGTCGTGATAGGGGTCGGGGAGTGATAGGGGTAGTGGTATGGGCCGTGATAGGGGTAGGGGTGTGATAGGGGTAGTGGTAAGGGTCGTGATAGGGGTTGAGGAGTGGTAAGGGTAGTGGTAAGGGTCGTGATAGGGGTAGGGGTGTGATAGGGGTAGTGGTAAGGGTCGTGATAGGGGTAGGGGAGTGATAGGGGTAGTGGTAAGGGTCGTGATAGTGGTTGGGGAGTGGTAGGGGTAGTGGTAAGCGTCGTGATAGGGGTTGGGGAGTGATAGGGGTAGTGGTAAGGGTCGTGATAGGGGTTGGGGAGTGAAAAGAGTAGTGGTAAGGGTCGTGATAGGGGTTGGGGAGTGATAGGGGTAGTGGTAAGGGTCGTGATAGGGGTTGGGGAGTGATAGGGGCAGTGTTAAGGGTCGTGATAGGGGTAGGGGAGTGATAGGGGTAGTGGTAAGGGTCGTGATAGGGGTTGGGGAGTGATAAGAGTAGTGGTAAGGGTCGTGATAGGGGTTGGGGAGTGATAGGGGTAGTGGTAAGGGTCGTGATAGGGGTTGAGGAGTGGTAGGGGTAGTGGTAAGGGTCGTGATAGGGGTGTGATAGGGGTAGTGGTAAGGGTCGTGATAGGGGTTAGGGGTGTGATAGGCGCAGTGGTAAGGGTCGTGATAGGGGTATGGGAGTTGGTTCCAGTGAAGGGGAGCGAGAAGGGAGAGAGAACAAGAATGGGCGCAGCAGGGCGAGAGAGGCTCAGAGAGGGACAGCAGAGACTGGGAGCGGAGAGGGCACGGTGGGACGAAGCGTTAAGAGATGAGAGACGCAAGCTTAGGCGGGGCAAGGTTCCTGCCGCGTTATCCTTCGTGTAACGTGCCAGCTGCTCCACGTGACGCTGTGAACTCCGTGTGAGCGATAGCTTGGGGGGGGGGCCCAGCGGAATGCGCAACACGAGTCGAATGAAGCGATGTGTGTCACGGCCGATCCTGCAACGCACACGGGGGGTGATGTGAGATTCCCTGGCGGAACGCACGGTAGGCAAACGCAAGATTGCTTTCCTTACCCAGCGCTGTTTCGTGTCACGACGTTTTGTGCGAAGTTCGTCCAGCGTTCGCCGTTTCCAAGGCCGCGGAACACTGGCGAATGTGTCCACGCCTCCAGTTAAGGCGGTGGTTAACAAAGACGTCACTTTTCGTACCGCGCATTAGCGGCGTGTTCGCCAGGCACGTGGTTCACATTGTGTATTGCTGGTGGTGAAGCATATTTCGTCAATCCGTGTGTTTCGTCGGCCCAACGTGACCCTAACACCCCCCCTACCCCCAACCGCGCACTTATCCTGCACGGTACCCATTCCGTAGCCTGCACCCTTTCAAAGACTTTCGTTGCTCTCACGGCGCTGTGGGGGAAGGGGGAGGAGGAGGGGGGGCGTTGAGTGATTGAGAATCGCTGTGCTAAACACTTCCTGCCCGCCGAGCTATCTGACGGAACGTAACGTATTTGCCGTAGATCATCGGCTAAACGCGGCCCGAGCGCGACATGCGATAGCTCCCGCAGTGACGAAGTGGCGGTCGAGGGCGTGGAGATTAACAGCGGGTTCATTGGGCATCAGAGCCTCTCTGGTCGTGCTCCCACTCACAATCGGCATCGCACGAAATACAATTTAGTGAATGGAACGGCGGAGTTCAGCCCCGGCTCGGTTTATATTTCTAAGCGGCTGAGCCGAAATACAATTTCCCCACTGGTGACATATGGCAGCTGGGG